TACTTTATGTCATATAGAGTGTATAAGCTAATTTTAAACTCCAAATTAGATTTTAACTTAACTTTTCCAAATATCCCATTTGATAAATTGAAAAACATTCATTTTTGTTAGAAACTTTAAGAAAATATCCTGTTGCACCGAATCTTATTCGAAAAGCAACGAGTAATTATGAAGTACCCGATGACGATCTTGTTATTGAAAAAGGAACACAAGTGATTATACCTGTCTATAGTATACATATGGATCCTAAATATTATCCTGACCCTAATACATTCAATCCAGAAAGATTTGATGTTAAAGAAAAAGCAGAGCGTCCAAATTGTACATATCTTCCATTTGGCGATGGACCTCGTATTTGTTTAGGTAATAGTAACAACTTAAATTACTATTATTGCATTTAATTTAAAATTATGTGATACTTGTTCTTTAGGGAAACGATTTGCAGAAATGGAGATAAAATTAGCTCTTGTTGAAATATTGTCAAAGTATAAAGCTGAGCCTTGTGACAAAACTGATGTACCATTAAAGTTTCTAAAAAAATCTATTTTCTTAAATCCAAAAAATGGAATATGGTTAAAATTTAAAAGTATTTCTGCTTAGCAAACATTATAATCAAATTCTCTTAAAACTTATTAAATGAGCAAGACTGCTTCAAATTTTATTAACTCAATTTTAATTGTCCCACGAGCTTTATTATCTTACTACTTGAAAAATAAAAAATGTATTATTAAATCATTTTTTCCTAGCTGATCGAGATTTTTTAAATATCATATTACTCAATAAAGTAATTTTATTGATGTTTTCATAATTCTATTAACTCAAATACTTGATATTAAAAATCAGGTGAATTAAAAAAAAAAAAAAAATAGAATTTGTGAAGTTTAATATATATTTTTTTTCCGAAATCTGGAACTTATTTTTAAAAAGATTTACTAGATATGTTTATTTATACGCACAACATTCACTAACTGATTTTCATTCTATGGTAAATTTTATTTATAACATCACAGTTTAATATTTTTGAGTGATACTAAACATTACAACTATAAGGTTTTCATTATAATAAATTTCATATATTTTGCACTGTTTGATACCTATTAATAATTTTTATAAATAAATGAAATTAAATGTACATATAATCAATATCTGTAAAGATTGTTGATTATATTAATAGATTATATATGGGGACTTAAAAGTTGTTATTATTGTAAATACTTATTAAATATGGTTATTGAAGTAATATAGGAATACATTATTTATTAATATAAATAAGCAATTGATTTTTGGTATCTCTTGTCACTATTTCTCAGCTCTCACCGGACCGATTTATTTCAATGATAAGTCAAAAGATCACAAATCGTACCTATTTCCCTCGTTCCCTGTAGTAAATGTGGGAAACCCGCATAAAAATTACGATTTTTAAAATCGATAAATTTTGATATTTTTAAAAAAAATTTTTATTAGAACTGTCACAATTTTTTTAAAAATGAACAAATAAAAATAACTTTTTTAGCTTCGATGCGAAGCTGAGAAGGTATTAATTTTACTATGATGTGTTTTTTTATTTTTTTATTTATTTTTTTTT